CTTGTTCCTTGTTAGTGACGAGTCGTCATTCGATATGCTGTTAGGCAAGTACTACCTATAGGTTGCTCAACCTCAATTCGATTGGGATAGGAAGGCGATGATCCGCAAGTTGCCGAATGGAATATCCGTTAGACTGCAGAAGTTCAAAGCTACCAGTCTACTGGAGAACTATGGCTGCATGTACCTAGTCTTTGTCTCTAAGAAAGGGAACGCAGTAAAATCACCCCCAGAGATAGAAGCAGTCATTGCCCCAATATCCGGACCTTTTTTAGGATTCAGTGGTGTGGTAGAAAGGGAGGTGGTCCATGCGATAGAAGTCGTCCCTGGTAGCGAAGTACCTAGAGGAAGGATTTATAGGATGCCTCTTACGGAGTTAGATGAGCATCGCCGCCAGCTCAAAGAGCTTACAGAGAAGGAATGGATTCGGCCTAGTACCTCCCCTTATGGTGCACCAGTCCTATTCGTTCCTAAGAAGGGGGGTACCTTAAGGATGTGCATTGACTGTAGGGGCCTCAATGCCATCACCGGCATTGACGACCTCTTGGATAGAGTGCAGGGATGTCGGTACTTCACAAAGATAGATCTGAAGTCCGGATACCTTCAAATTGTCATTAGAGTTAAGGAAGAGCATAAAACTGCATTCCAGACCCAATACGGTCTCTACGAGTTTGTGGTGATGCCCTTTGGCCTATGCAATGCTCCTTGGACATTCCAGCACGCAATGAACCGGATATTTCACGAGTACTTGGACAAGTTTATCGTCGTGTACCTCAACGATATTCTTATTTTTAGTAAGATTGTAGAGGAGTACAATGAGCATGTGAAAACAGTGTCTGGTCTCCTAAGACAGCACCAGTACAAGGTTAACTTGGAAAAATGTGAATTTTGTCGCACCAAAATCTTGTATCTGGGTCATGAAATTTTCGCTGACAATTTGAGACCGAATGATGCCAAGGTGGCCATCATACGTAATTGGCCCAGACCTCAGTCCGTGACTGAGGTGAGGTCATTCTTCGTGATGGCAGGCCATTACAAACGATTTGTAAAGACTCCCCATTGACTGATCTCACAGACCTTGACACCCTTTGGGAGTGGACCGAAGAGTGTGTGAAGCAGCCTTCAAGAAATTGAAGTATGCTCTAACACACTGTGAAGTACTCAAACTTTCGGATCCTGAGCAGCCCTTCATTGTGACCACTGACGTCAACCAATACGACGTAGGCGCAGTCCTTACGTGAAAGGAGGGGAAAAAGTTGAGGCCCATCGAGTACATGAGCAAAAAGATGCCATCTAAGAAATTAGCGAAGTCCACATATGAGCGTGAGCTCTATGCCCTCTATAGAGCGCTGGTCCACTGGAGACACTATCTCCTAGGCAGATTCTTCTATGTGAGTCTGACCATGAGACCTTGCGCTAGATTAAGACACAGTCGGTACTCTCAGATGCACTCAAGAGATGAATTCAAGTTATAGATATGTACGATTTTCAACTTGATCCCCTCAAAGGAGAGTACAATAAAGTGGTTGATGCACTATCTTGTAGGGAGGACTATTTGGACGCGCTAGCGACTGAGTTTGGGATATCTGAAGATGTAACTCGATCCTTGGTGGAAGCCTATCGGGAAAACACGGTTATGTTAGAAATTAGCCGTAAGTTAGAAGCTAAAGACAAAGTAACTTCTGATGAATTTACGGTGGTCGATGGCTTGTTGTTCCTTGAGAAGGTTGGGAATAAAAGATTGTGTGTTGCAGATAGGGAGGACCGATTTTCCAAGTATGTTAGACTAATCGCCATGTAGGAAACAACAAAAATTGACGATGTTATTAAGTTGTTTATGGATAACTGGGCACGGGACTTTGGTTTGCCCAAGTCTATTGTTAGTGATAGGGACGTTCGCTTCACTAGCGAACTGTGGCAAAATACTGCCCAATAGATGGGCACCCGATTGCAAATGACATGAAATCACCCTGAGTAAAATGGCTAGGCGGAACAGATGAATCAAGTAGTGCAACACTTGCTACGACATTACATCAAGCCAAGTCAGGATGACCGGGACGAGAAATTGCCTCTCGTCGCCAGCCTGTACAACAACGTTGTGCACAACACTACTGGCATGACTCCCAACCAACTGCATCTTGGTTGGAAGCCCAGGTCCACCTTGGATTTTCTACTACCCAAAATTCGGCCATTTGCAGCACCTGGCAGCATAGAGTTTGTTATGAACAAATGTTGCAACAGGCTGTAGACCACATTAAGAAAACTCAAGATGCCATGGTGGCATCTGAGAACGAACACAGACGACCATCTTAGTTTCAGGTAGGAGAGCGAGTATGGGTCAAGTCATCTAAACTGGGCCAAGATTTGGGAATCTCACAAAAACTAATGCCGCAGTATTTCGGTCCATGGGACGTACTAGATATAGTCGGGGATCAGATAGCCGGACCGGAATAGCAAAAAAAAAACAAGAGTAGCAAGGCGCACTGGTGGTCTTTGGGTGCATAGAGGAAAGACAAGGGAGAAAGACGAGGGAGAGAGAGATAGAGAGATAGAGATGAGGATGATGAGGTGAGGGCTCATACATGGTATTGGCGATGGTCTACATTGGGCGACATCTTCATGTACTCCGGTTCTGCTGTCGTCAACAGTTGCATTGTTAATTCATAAGCAAGGCGCACTGGTGGTCTTCGGGTGCATAGAGGAAAGACAAGGGAGAAAAACGAGGGAGAGAGAGATAGAGAGAGAGAGATGAGGATGATGAGGTGAGGGCTCATACATGGTATTGGCGATGGTCTACATTGGGCGACATCTTCATGTACTTCGGTGGCTGCTGACGTCAACAGTTGCATTGTTAATTCATAAGCAGATAGTAGCTGTGTGGGGAGTAGTTTGGAACAAGGTTGCTATGACGAGCAGCAGTAGACTAATTAAAGTACCCAATCCTACGTCAAATCTGTCACCTAAAGGAACCGGATTCTCCAATTTGCAAGGTCATAACGGAAAGTGGGATCCGGGAGATCTAGAACCAGGAAATGTCGAGTCAGGAAATTTTAAACAGAACGAAGTGCGCCCAAGCTTTATATGGTTAGTTGAGTGCGCGCCCATGCGCGCCAATGCTCAATATTGCTTTCTGAGTATGCCCCCGTGCACGCCCAAGCTTGAGAATATTATTTAAATGTGCGCCCATGCGCGCCTAGGCTTGGCATCATAGAAAGGGACGCCAAAATTCAAATCGAAACCAAGAAAAAAGGTCATGGGGGGATAAACCCTGTTACGAAAACAAATCCGAACGAACTAGTCTAACTGCTATGAGACCTTTATTCCAATTATTATTATTATTTTTATTTTTTATTTTATGTTTTTTGAACAAGTGCTCCAGTCTATTCGTGGGGAGCAGCACGTGCTGGGAACCGGGCCCAACGTCCCATACTGAATTATACAGATCATTGAGAACATTTGAGGTCGTTTGAGGTCATTTGAGATACCGGGGCCATTACCCGGCTTCGGCGGAGAACAATCAGTGAACTCGATGAGATTCCGAAACATGGGGAGGATCCTGAGTATCTAATGACCTATTAGAGAATTACTCATGCAATAACCTGCCATAGAGGTCCTACGAATGCTGACTACCCTCAGGTTCCCTGACAAACCCTTGTAAGACTTCCCAACACCGTCTTACTCCCTGCTGAGCTCTTCCAGGCCTCACGCCCCCACCCTGCTGGGGTACAGGGCAACACAACTCGCCCCAGCTGTTACATGCGAGATGGGAGATGTACATAATAACCGAGGATCCGCAATATGATGAAAAGGACTGAATGGACAATGCAGTGCAAGTAGAATCTCAACAAGCAATGTGCATTCTGATACATACAAAATGCTGCTGAATAGCGCTGGGAAGACTTAGATACAAATCCTGACTTGACCGGGACTGACCTCGTTCACGTAGTATAAGATAGCGAAGCAGAATGCTAGGATGCTAATGACTAGCCCAATCAATGTTTGAATGCAGACCAAACATACATCGTGTCCATCACAAGGTGTGAAGGAGCCTGGCGCTATACACAGGAAGGAAGCGCCAGGTCCAGACATACACAGACGAAGAGGAGGGGATCAGACAAAGAAGAGGGGAGAGATGGGAATGTCGTCAACACCAAGTCTTTGTCACAACTTCACAAGTCCCAAATAATCCCTCGCTGCAATGTCTGAAGCCCAAAAATAGAGTCTGGATCCAATGTCACCGAGCTCTCTCTCTCTCTTTCTCTCGTAGTCTGCTGATGCAGTGAAGTCAGATAATGAGAGGGTGAGAGGGAGATGGTGGATTGAGAAGAGGAAGAAGAAGAACTCTCTCTCTGTCACGAGCCGGATACTAACCTGTGAAGTTGGCGTTGTGCTTCAGGTACCTCGAAGACGAAGTTGGCGCAACGGCGCTGCAGGTAGATACTCCTGGCCTCCACACAATCTCTCTCTGTCTAGTGCTATCCTAGCTATGGCGCCCAGCGTTGAAGACTACAACTACCTACTAGCGCCCAGCGCTGAAGACTAATGCTAACGCTACTACTACTCCTGGCAGCGCTCCCTCCAGAGTGTTGCTGCCAAATCCTGAAGACTACTGACTGCCTCCTGCCTTCCCATGAAGTGCATGGGAAGTCCCTATGTACTACCTTGGCCTGCCTCCTGACTGCCTGCAGGGCGAGCCAGGCCGAGGAGGCTGCTTTTGTCAATGCCGAAGTGTGCCAGGGGATGGAGCTGCAGCCTCTGCTGAGGCTGTTGTGGGAACAGGCTATTCTTAGCCTGTTCCCGAAACCCTGGTTCGGTGCCCGAGTTTCAGGGCCGGTCGTTCTGATGAACGACCGAAAATGACCCTTCGTTTCAGGCTAAAAAGGCTATTGCCATTTTTAGTCTGAAACGACACAGGGTCTGCAGGCCCCTGTTTTTCAGGCTTTCGGGCTGAACAGACCCGGGCCTGTAGGCCCTGGTTTTCAGGCTTTTAGCCTGAATTTCAGACTTTCAGTTTGAGGGACGCAGGGCTTGGAAAATGGCCCTCGTGTGCAGGCGCAGCATGTAACACCCCTCCCCTCCTTATGAAGTCAAGCCGGGGCAAGGGCGGAGCCGACGATCTGAAGGTGGAACCTGGACGTGGGCACGACGTAGAGCCGAAGAGACCGGCTTGCCTTGCATCTTGCGTTCGTAGCGTGCGAGAGAACGTTTGGAGTTGTTGCTTGAAGTTCCGCATGGGTCAACCAACCGTCAACTCGGTGTGTGCAGTATGCAAAATGCACCAAATACTCAGTTGGCCTGTTGCCGTAGCGTCGCTGGGAGATGATGTCGCCGACCTCCTGAAAATCGTCCATAGAGGGTGGATCTTGCGAACGTCTCCCGGGAAAATTGTCATGTTCCGCTGGCGTGTAAAGAGCCAACTTGAAGCAATGAAAGACTGGGTAGACGGGCAAGTGGGCGGGCACCTGAATCGTGAAGGAAGGTCCCTCGGGTGCGTCTCCAGCGGGTGCTACGATCGGCCAAGGCCCCATCCATTTCGGGAGGAGCGTGCGAGAGATATCTTGTTCGAGGCTGAATTCCGCGGCGGAGACCCAAACGAGATCGCCGACGCGGAATGGGCAAGGAAGACGCTGGCGATTGGCCTGCTGGCTCATGCGTTGCTGCGTCTTGGCCATCTGGTCGCGTGCCTTGACAAGTAGCTCTTGCATCCGACGCAAGAAAAGATGATGGTCGTCGCTCTTGGCTGTTCGTGGAGTGATGGTGTCCAACGGCGAAGTGACCGGCGAGCCGTGCTCGGACTCGAAAGGCGATATCTCGATAACCGGGTGGATGGAAGAGTTGTAGGCCAACTCGACATCTGGCAGCCGCTCAACCCAGTCCTTCTGGCCAGGACGGATGAGAGTGCGAAGGAGAACCTGTGCGGTTTGGTGCGCCCTCTCCGTTTGGCCATCGGTCTGAGGGTGGCGAGCTGAACTAGGCTTGAGAGATGAGCCCCATCGCTTGATGAGCGCCAACCAAAAATCGGACATGAACCGAGTGTCGTGGTCACAGACGATTTCCTTGGGGTAACCCTTGGTTCGAATCCAACCAGCGTAGAGAACCTCGGCCAACTCCGGTGCCTTGGTATGATAGTCACAAGGCAAAAACATGGCGAACTTGGTGAGCCAGTCGACCACCGTGAGAATCCCATCTACTCCGGTCTTGTGCTTGGGGGACGGGCCGGTAATGTCCATGGCAATCGCTTCCCTTCGCCTCAACGGGACGGGTAATGGTCGTAACTCGCAGTACAGGTGATGGTTGCAGGATTTGGAGCGTCGACAAACCTCGCATGACTCGCAATAGCGTGTGATGTCGTCGAGAAGGCCGGGCCACCAAAATCGCTCGTAAAGTCGGCCAATCGTGTGATTGACTCCAAAGTATCTGGTGGCGGGAGCATCGTGGAACTTGCCAAGAAGCCGTATACGCAAGTGAGGATCACTCGGTACGCAAAGAAGGTCCTTCCCCCGCGTGTGGACAAGCAAGTACCCCTCTTGGATCCGATAGTGAGAAGGCGCCGCATTAGAAGAGGAGCAATTAGCGTACTTGTCGCAAAACTCGGGGTCGGCTTAGTAGCCGCGGATGAAGTTGTTCCGCAGGTCGTCATCGATTTCGAAGGTTGAGTAGACCGCAGTACAATGATCCGGACGCCATGAAAGAGGATCCGCAAAAGGGTTCAACTTCTCGGGGATGTGATTGGGAAAGAAGTCATCCATCGAGCCATGGTGTTGTTGAGTCGTGTTGACAGTGTCTTGGGTCTTATAGAAGACCAACGGATTGTTGTCCGTTACCCATCGGAATTGGCGTCGACCAAGGAGGAAGTGTCACCACCGCTTGAGCGCGTGGACTAAGGCGAGGAGCTCCTTCTTGTGTGCATCGTCAATGAAATGCACGACGGACACTTTCTTGCTGAAATACTCGACCGGGTGCCAGTCCACACCATCATGTTGCTCGAGGACGGCACCAATGCCATAGCCGGACGCATCCGTCCTGACGCGCGTAGGCAAAAGCGGGTCGTATACGTGCAAGACCTCCGCATATAACAGCGCAACTTTGAGAGCCAAAAATGATTCCCGCGCCTCCTCTCCACGGTCGATTCTTGCATTGAAGCTTGGTTAAGTGGGCCGCGATCTTTGAGTAGCCTTTGATGAAATGCTGATAGTAGCCGGCGAGGTTAAGGAACGAACGGACATCCGTGATGTTCCGAGGCTCCGGCCACTCTTGGATGGCTTGAATCTTGTCCGATAGCGGACTGATGCCCTCCGGTGTGACAAAATGGCCCAAGTATATCGGACAAATTCCCACTTGTCGCGGTTGGCCTTGTACTTGGCATGGCGGAGCGTCTCCAACACTCATCGAAGATGCCCAAGATGATCCTCCAATGTCTGGCTAAGTAGACCAGCACGAACCGGTCCAACATTGCACGGAACTCGTTGGTCATTGCCGCTTGAAAGGTCGTCGGGGCGTTGGTGAGGCCAAAAGGCATGACAACCCACTCAAAATGTTTGTGCCGCGTCTTGAACGCGGATTTGTAGCAATCATTCGGCCGGATCGAGATTTGATGATATCCCGATTTCAAATCCAACTTAGAAACATAATTTGCGCCGCCCAATCGCTCAAGAAGATCGTCGATGCGAGGAAGAGGCCCCACATTCTTGACGGTTTGCGCGTTGAGCTTGCGGTAGTCGATACACAATCGTAGATCCTTGTTCTTCTTCCGGACGAATAGAACCGGTGCTCCATATGGGGAGCTACTAGGGCGGATCCAGCCCTTGGCCAACAAGTCGTCGAGTTGTGCGCGGAGGACCTCAAGCTCCTCCTCGCTCATCCGATAGACTCAACCTTTCGGCGGCACGACACCGGCCTTGAGAATGATCTCGTGAGAGATCGGCCGATCCGACACCACACTGGTAGGTGACTCGAACTCGTCCAGCAACCGCACCACCCGGGTGTCCGAAGACAAGTCCGTGGGTGAAGAGTCGTCTATCGCAATAGTCCGTAGGAAACATAGGCGGATCTTTTCGGGCTGCTCGTAAGCGCAAGTCGCCCGGAATGATTTGGCCGTCACCATTTGGCACCGAATCGAAGGGTGTGGTAGAGGAATAGTACACGCCACTTCGGCGCCGAAGGCGTCGCGAACGCTAAGAGTCCGCCGGTGGAAGTTGACTGTGTGATCCGGACTTGCCAGCCAAGGCATTCCCAGAATGATGTCGAAGTCTGTGTCGAGAATGTCGAACGTCACCGGTTCGCATGCATGAGGTGTGAAATAAATCGGTACGGCCTCGCTGTAACGGTCGAGAAGTTACCGCGTCTTTCCATCCGCCAACTTGATCGTCGTCGGGTTTGCCTTCCTCCGAACTTGTGTGCCAAGGCCAACCCTTTGCATAAAGGCTTGGCTCATGAAATTGCGAGACGCGCCGCTATCCAGCAAAGCGCTGCAAGACGCTTGCCCAACCTGGATGCGGACATACATGAGTGGTGCGTTATTGTCATAGTAACGCTGCGTGCGAAACTCGCAGGCCACCTTGGTAATATATGCAAGGATGTCCCCCACCGCGACTTCGTCATCCGTCGGCGAAGTTGGTGGTGCATAAAAGGATAAGTACGTGTGGAGATGAACGCATAGTGTTGCGCACTCCACAAACATAATTGAACTCTAGGTCCCACAGGTTATCAGTTGTTGGGCAGTCTTTGATGCTTAATCGCAACTGGGGCACAGGTTTCTGAGTCTGTGGTGAACCTTCTTGTTGGACCTGGATCTGTTTCGAGCAGAGTTTCGCACTCCACAAACAGAATTGAACTCCAGGTCCCGCATGCTATCAGTTATTGGGCAGTCTTTGATGCTTAATCGCAATTGGGGCTAGGTTTGTGGGTCTGTGGTGCGCCTTCCTGTTGGACCTGGATCTGTTTCAAGCAGAGTTTCGCAGTCCACAAACAGAATTGAACTCGAGGTTCCGCAGGTTATCAGTTGTTGGGCAATCTTTGATGCTTAATCGCTACTGGGGCACATGTTTGAGGGTCTGTGGTGGGCCTTCCTGTTGGACCAAGATCTATTTCGAGCAAAGTTTCACACTCCACAAACAGAATTGAACTCCAGGTCTAGCAGGTTATCAGTTGTTGGGCAGTCTTTGATGCTTAATCGCAATTGGGGCTAGGTTTGTGGGTCTGTGGTGGATCTTCCTGTTGGACCTGGATCTGTTTCGAGTAGAGTTTCGCACTCCACAAACAGAATTGAACTCCAGGTCCCGCAGGTTATCATTTGTTGGGCAGTCTTTGATGCATAATCGCAACCGGGGTCAGGTTTGTGGTCGTTCTACTGAATGGGATATAAGCAAAGTGCGAGTGAACTCTCACTTAAGCGGATTGCTCGGGGTATACACCACAAGTGCGAGTGAACTCTTACTTAGATGGAGAACTAGGTGTGCACACCATCAACGTGGTGATTTAATATGGACGTTGGCGTGTTGTTTGTATATTCCCGGATGAAAACGTCATCAAATTTATGCATAGACAAATCCATAACATAGATTCGTAACATTCAATCTTGTCATCGCAAACATCGATCCCCTCTTTTACATGAGCATATTTCATCGAAAACATCCATGCATCCCATGGCATGAAGATGAGAGATCGAAACGCTTGCAATGTCACTATTATGAAAGTCGGAGAGATGGAGAGATGAGAACATTTGCAAGTTGTCAGTTGTTTTTGTAAAGGTTAAGGTGAAGCAAAGTGTGAGGTAATTGTTCGAGGTTCACACCGCAAATGCGAATGAACTCGCACTTAGATGGAGAGCTAGGTGCGCACACCATCAGCGTGGTGATTTAATATGGACGTTGGCTTGTCATTTGTATATTCCCGGATGAAAATGTCATCAAAACTTTGCATGGACAATCCATAACATAAATTCATAACATTCATTTTCGTCACAGCAAACATCGATCCCCTCCTTGTCATGAACATATTTTCATCGAAAACATCCATGCATCCCATGACATGAAGATGAGAGATCGAAACACCTGCAAGATCACTATTATGAAAGTCGGAGGGATGGAGAGAGGGAAACACTTGCAAGTTTTCTGTTGTCTTTGGAAAGGTCGAGTTGAAGCAAAGTGCGAGTGAACTCTCACTTGAGTGGATTGTTCGGGCTTCACACCACAAGTGCGAGTAAACTCGCACTTAGATGGAGAGCTAGGTGCGCACACCATGAGCGTGATGATTAAAATATGGCCACCGGCTTGTCATTTGTATATTCCCGGGTGAAAATATCATTATTTTTTTGCATGGACAAGATATATAATATCCATTCATAACATTTACTCTTATCATTACAACATCGGGATGAAAACACTTGCAAGTTGCTTAGTGTTTTCCTAAAGGTGAAGTTGTACACCGCACAGAGAGTTGCGAAAAATCGTTCAATGCAAAAAATCATTCTACCGCACGTTGCAAAGAACACAAGGGTGTTTTCAAAAACAATTCAATACAAAAAATCATTCAATCACACATTGCAGAGTACACAGAGGCTTTCCAAAAATCACAATTTCATAACTACGAACATACTCGGTATAGCGTTCACTTGCGACCACTGCCTCTCACACCTCTCTCTACTACTTCATATCTACCATTTTCGGGTACACACATGGACATCATGTTTCATAAGAAATAAAACTTGTACCAATGAAATAGTTCCATTTTTCTAAATCGATAACCCCTTCCCACGATGCCTCATAATATCTTAGTTGTTTAAAAAATAGTAGTATATCCGCTAAAATTATATTTTCACTCTTTTTCCCTTAAACACAAGGTCTAACAACCCGTCCAAATCTTGTGACATATGAGATTTTCCGCGGACGAGGTCGTGAACCGAAGCCATACATAGCATTCATAGATGATCTATATATGTGGATCTGTGGTTCCTCGACTGTTGCATTCTCCGAAAATACGGACATGTATTTCATCATAACAAACCCTCCTAGTCGTGCTAAGGAATTCTCTATACAGTTTCGTATGTCGGACACTTTCTCTTCGACCTCATGCCACAGTGAAAAATCATTGACCTGGCCTGCTCTCAACACATCTGACCGCCCATCTACACCGCGGCGATATTGCAACGCCATAAACTTGGACCCCTGAAGTACCAACTTGTTCTGTGATACACGCACAACTGCATCCACGAGTTTCGTACTTTTGTTTGAAGAAGCCACACATAGCACTCTGGCGAAAGTACATCCATTAGTAGTCAACCGCACACAACAGTATGACACAGCTTGTGGAGA